TCCTCCCTCTCTCCACTGATTCCCACTCCACAATCCTGAAAGGGCACCAGACGGTAAGCGGGCAGCCCCACCGGGAGTTGGCTTGGGCTTGGCAAACAGGCTCTTTTCTGAGAAGAAAAACAATCACCGTGAAAGCCATAAAGGCTCTGCCTGGAGGAGCCCCCCTCAAAACCAGGGGCCATGGTCTGGGTGACCGGAAATTCAAAACATTTAACTAAGTTCTGTGAAGCCCAACGGTGTGCTGAGATGAAGATAGGAAACAAAAGCGGGGAATTCAGGGACTCAACTCTCCATTCATTAGTCCAGAAGGGAAAATCTGTCTCAAAACGAAGACGCTTTTGTACAAGACAGATGTGCACTGTGCCTACTGGAAACTTAAGATTTAAAAAAATTATTTATAAGGAGAAGGGCATGAAAATTTAATTTAATGTTCACCTTAGGTAATTTTGTGTCTTATTGTTCATAGCAATTACCATAAATCTGCATATCAATAAGCGAGAACAGATGTCAGTTGTTACAAGTGCTTGCCAATCAGGTCTGTTAAAAAGTGACAGATGGGAGGTTATAGAATGTTCTCATAAGGCCTATTAGCACATTCTCAGGAAGTGTCTGTAGTACTGAGGTTGGGGGACTCAGCTCTGGGAAGAACTTGGGGTCTTTGGGGGTCCACCATGTGCACACCGCATGGTTCTGGGAGGGTCTCTGATGTGACCCTTTTGGGACTTTGCAAATGTCTTCAGACCCAGCCCTCTTCTCTGCTTGTCACCAACATTCTTGAAATGTATTTCAAAGTGATGACAGGGTAGCTTTTTTGTTGTTTTCAGCAAATATTCGTACTCTGCTTCACTGCTACTTTAAAAAATGAGACCAGGTCTTCTGAAGGGGTATTACTGCCGCCTGCACTGCACTGGGAGGTGGCTTTCCTTATGTTATCACAGATCCTTCTTTGCAGTCACTGCACCTTAACTTTTATAATTTCTTTAACAAAACAACCCCTCTCTGAAGAAGAAAAAAATGACCTCAACAAAAAGCAAACCATTCAAAGACATGTGAAATGTTGTCCATGGTGACAGGAGGCAGTGTTCCCATTACTGAGTTTCTGGTTTGCCTGAACTGCTTCTTTTCGCACAGTGTTGAGGCTTAATCTTTGCTTACCTACTGCCAGGGCCTCTTTGTTATCTGGCCTACTTGTATCACCATGTCTTTGCAATGGGTGTTTATGAAAACAAACTTGAATCTGGGAGAGGTCGACGGCACTGCTGTGCCATCGTGGGGGCCATGAAGAGCTCAGGGTTTGGCTTGGCCATTTTCAGAGTTGGCTCTGCCTTTTACTAGCTTGGTGGTGGTGGTGGGCCCATTTGTTAACCGGAGTCTCAGTTGCCCCACCTGTAAAAGTGGATTGTTTGACTCCTGTGTTGTTTGGTACTTGGGAATTCTGTATCCTCATCCATAGCTTGCTGCTTAGTTGGTTATTTAATTTCTTCATACTTCAGTTTCTCAAGATGTAATGTAGGAACAAAATATGGTTTTGGCCTTGGCGGGATGCAAGGATAACTTGCATGATTACTTTTAGGGACTCTGGTAGGACTCAGTCAAAGACAAAATGGAGCTACTCTTGTTTTTCAAATGTGATGCTCTTTGAGACCATTGTTATGAAGAAGTCAATGAAGAGTCACTTTTTCCTTCTTCTTCAGGAAAGTCAGGCTCTTAGTGCCAACTCATACCCCAGTTTTCTGAGATTTCAGAAATCCATGGAACAAATACCACAGCTGAGTGAAACTGGACACATTTTCATCAGAAGTTTTAACAAGGAAAATGAAATCAATGAACCTCAAGGATATACAAAATACATACATAAAGGCATCCAGAAATAAAGATTTGGATCTTAATCTACTTCCTGCTTTTAAATTCCATGTGAAGTATAGGTTCCTTTTTTTTTTTTTAATAAAATCATGAAATACATTTGAAGTTTAGTTTGAAAGGAAAATGGCAAGAATTTTTTTTTGGGAAAGTATAGATGTCTCATTTGATTTTATTGATGTAAGTACTTAGCAACTTATCATCTAGAATTTTTTTTTTGTTTTTTTTTAAATTTTTTTTCCTCAAGCAGAAAGTGCTTTACTCATTCAAATGAGCCATTTTAGATGCCAGTAATAAACCTCAATCTCCTGAAGGGACAGACCATTATGTTTTGAGAGGTGCTCACAACAAAATATTATTGTTTCCAAAATGATATTTCACTCTGTTTGGTGGTATAGAGTTCTAAGCTGGAGTGCTTGAATTTTATATGTGGAGATTATTGTGTGGCACAGTGAGACATAAAAGCTGCATTTGAATTGTGTAGGTGTCTACTCTCACTAGGCCACGATCTCAATCACTTGACCAGCAAGCCTATCTCAGGAGGAGCTGGGATGGATGGCTGCTTAGTTCCCACACTATTTCTCGGGGATGTGTTATATGCCACATGCTCTGTAACGTGTATAACTTTACCCAAGCTCTTCATTTCCAGATCTTCCGCAATTCACTTCTGAAGGCAGTTGACATGTTTTAGGGCTTATAAGTAAGCTAAAGCCAACTTTCTCAATTTAATCACTAAGGCTTCCACGTACAGTCCATTAGGAATGACTCTAAAACATGAATTTGCACCTGTTGATTTATAATGTATTCACTTATCCACTCAAAAACAGTTGACAGCACCTGTCAGAAGTGGGAGGGCTGAATCTATCCGTGCAGGCCAGGCCCTCTGGAGCTCAGCATACAGCAAGGAGCGGGAACTTTAAGGAATATTCAGAGGTAAAGGAGGAAAGTAAGATTAGAAGGCTTCCTGGGAACCTGGAAGAGGCATATCCTTCCCACATTTGGAGGAGCTGGAGACACTTTCCGTAGGAAGAGACCTATATTACCAACCTACCTTGTTTATTTGAAAAGAAAAGAAAAGAAAACAAAACAACTGCTTAGCTTACAGGTCGAAGCAAGAGGAAGGCACTACTATGGGGAGAAGACTTGTGTGCAGGAGGCCAAACAGTTACACTGAAGAAATAAATACCCAAACCAAGACCTGAGACTTGATGATCCATAGGAATGAAGGTCAACCTTTCTAGAAACTGCCAAGCAGACAGAGGCTTGACATCTATCTCTTTATCCTCTATTCAAGGTAGTGGTAGATAAAAGACTGGAACTCCCAGCCTGCGCAGACTTGTGCACCCAATTTAAAAAGTTGAAGTTTCCAGAAAGGGCTATTTTGAGAACCCAGAGCCTTTGCAGAATGCCGTATGCCCCTTACACCTGCTAAGGTCACTCCAAATACCTGGAGTTTCTCAGCACCCGAGCATGTAAATATGAACACCCTGACCTGAAGCTGGGCAAGCAGAGGAACAGAGTCTAATGGAAACTGACAGGGTGCTCTGTCAGTCAGGGAAGACTGCTTGGCAGTAGCTCAAGCTCCAGTGATCTTCTTTGCATAATTCCAGTGAGGGAGTGGGAGAGGCTGAGGTCTCCTCCAAGGAAAGAGCCTAATTTTGAATTTGGGTGGGCCCAGGCTCTTAGAAGAAGAAAAAAAAAATTCTTGTCTTGGCTGAAAATGTGACAAATCTCAGCATCCATATTAGAGCCTGCAATCTGGAGGCTTTTTCTTCTAAAAACACAGAAAACTCCCTGAATATTTTACTTGTGTCTCCCAATTCCCTTTACAGAACTAAAAACAAACTAACCATTCAATGTGATTCTTAGCTTCAAGGCCAGCTTCCCAGACTGTACTAATAAAGGTAGCGTGGATTGCTTGAACTACTGTCATTTGGACATCTATTTTTTTCTGGTAACCCCAATACTACAACAGAACAAGCTGACAGAACCAGGAGATTTAAAGTGCAACAAATATTTCAGCAGTAGTTTTACTGCAGGCTGATGTGTCCTGTGAGATGAGTTAACATTAGCCTGTGAGGCCACAGAGGAAGGTGGACAGAGAACAGGTATATGGGAACCTACATATGCTCATCAAAATTATTTCCATTCAAAGTGAAACAAGGTAAAAAAAAAAAAAACAACCAAATATATGTATTTGGGGGGGAAAAGACCTGAGAATAAAGGACTTTTCATAGGGAAAGAAAGAAGTCTGGCTTTTATTCTGCACATTCAGGTTTCTTGCCTTGACTCAGGGTGGCCTTGATTAAGAAAAACTGATTCTAATATGCCCCAAATATCTTCCTCCTCCTTGCCCTGTCTCTCCCATCTTTTCTGGATCAAACAACAGAATGTCTTCCTCACGGCTCCTTGCAGTGGTTGGTGACCCTGTGCTCTGCTCTATGGCATGGACTGCTTCCCCAGCCCCATGTAAGTTGGGGTGCCAAGCAGCCTGGAAGGTGACACCCTATGAGTGGTCTCTGATTAGTCGCTGTGCCTCAACTACTACGCTCCCCACACCTTATGAAAAGGACTCCTTCATGAGCCTGCTTGCAAAGGCAGTCACACTTTGATTTTCCCCAGAACAAAGATTTTACTTTTCCATGAAAGCTTCTGATGCATAATTCTCTCAACTGGGGTTCTAAAGTAAAAAAAGAGAACCCTGTTAATTGTCTGTGGCCATCAAGAGACTACAAATGGTATCAAAGACGGGCCTGCAATCTTGGCTTTCATTATGGAGGTCAGAACATTTCTATCGACTTCCCGTTATTAACATTTTCAAGGATGTCCATCATTTTAGCTGCCCTGAATATATAGGCTCTTGTTGGAAAGTCTCCAGTCATCAATCCCATTTTTTTCTTTTAGAAAACAATTCGAGCACACTGTACAGGAATTCACAGTGGTATTTGCTGGGATGCCAGTGGTATAGAAGAACAACTTCTGAGCTGCTGATTCTAATGTCAACACTTAAGACAGAAAGTGAAGGGGACTGGTAGTTACTTTCCTTCTTTTATTTCAGTGCTTCCTATCTTTGCCCTCAGAGCCCACCCAACGAGCAGACACCAGCAGGGTCCGAAGGGAAGGCGTACTTGAGGACTTACCTGCCATTTGCTGAATGCCGCTGAATGCACCCAGGTTGCTGGAGGAGGTGGCCTGCTGCAGAAGCTGCAAATGGAAGGTAAAGGTGTATCATCAAAGCCAAGCAGAGATGCAAAGACACTTCCAGACAACACTGGGACACAACCAGTTTCCTTTACAATTTTATAGTTGGTCACTGCTGACCATTAAAGGACCGAGAGCTGCTAGAGGTGGCTCTGGGATCCATATTAATGTCTAATCGCTATTAAGAAACACAGACTCCCGGGGAAGCTCAATAACACTGCTGCCTTAAAACAATTAATCAATTTACTCTCTTTAACAGCCAGGTGTTAAATCTATTGAAATCAACATGGCGTGACTAATGCTCGCTTTTCGCAGTCTAGTAGTTACCATAACTCATCTCTGTCAATCAAAGTCCATCCCTCGGTCTCTCCTACTTTCCTTCATTAGAATCACATGGATTCACTGAGTGACATCATGGTAACTCCAGACATAAACAGACCTAGTCTCTGCCATGTTCTTTATGACCAAGATAGCGGTCACCCTCTTGATGGTGGTCTTCACTGGCACAGAGAACCATCAGAAGTATTTATTTATATTAAGTATTACAAATGTCAGTAACTTCTCCCAAAGAAATGAACATACCGGAGAAGATTTCTCTGCATTTCCCCCTAGAGCTTTGAAAAATACATTCCCCCCCATCCCATGTAGAATTAGTTGGTTTCACAAGGTAGAGACATGTCCTACAGTGCTCCTGTATTTGTCCTGTTCTCCGGAACTATAGGTGAACCCAGGTGCTATACTACAGAGTTGTCTGGATTTCCTGGTATTCTCTTTTTGGTAAGGCCCTTCAGTACAGGACATAGCTGGTACTGGGAAGAGACACACAATTCTCTCCCACAATGAGAGGTACAAAGATACACAAGATAGATTTACCTAACTTGCTACTGAAACAATGTGATGATACTATATGCTTAGGAGAATCAAGATGCATTTTTAAAATAGCTCTCAGCATTTATCTGGAGCTTTGCAAAACATAATGTAGAACACACTGTCATTCCCCTGGTTAAACTGTAGATATCTTCAGTTTAAGAAGAAGGAAATTCTACAATTGTATATGACTTGAAATGGGCATTTATTAATTGACTTCAAAGCGTCAAGTGGAATGGAAAAATCAGTGCTTCATGCTTAAACCTGAGACTTAGGCACAAAGACATTATGGGATTAACATCCCCAGAAAAATGTCTGTTAGGGTCGCTCACAATCCTGACATGCTGAACTGTGTTACCGAGGTATTACTCACACCTCTGAAGAGAGTGAGGAAGAGGGAGAGACAGAGCTAGAGGTTATCCAATTTTGATAGAGAAAAATCCCTTATTTTGATTTTTTGAGTTTTCCATTTCTGTAGTTGCAAACCCTTGCTCCTTCTGATGAGGTATTTTGTGAAATTAAAATTATAATGAGCTATTTGGAGGATATATGTCCTAAAAATGAGGTAAGTGGAACCACAGGGAGTGTCATGAAACTGTTGCCAAGGATTCTTTCCACTGATCACCGTTCTCTGGTGAGCCAGGGTCAGAGCCTGCTCTTCAACTGGGAGGGAGAAAGGGCTTTAAGGCCAGAGGTCCTCTCAGAGAGATAAGACTTGTAATTGAAGGGGCAGAACTAACACAGCTGGGAAAGAATGAAAGCCCCAGTAGGAGAAAACACCACTAAGAGTGCATAAAACCTGCTTTAATAAATGAAGCTGAGATGAATTCTCTTTCAGGGCAGAGAAATAATTTGCAGATGTGATCAAAGAAACATGTGGTAGAAATTTTTGTAGGCTGAGGGGCATGGGACAGATGCCAGAAGACTGGGGACAGACATCTGTGTCTTGGTTTGCAGGAATGAGGAGTGGGGAGCTGCATCCTCAGAAACTGTGAAAGGTGTATGCAACATCGTCTCTGATATATGTTCTGGTGTATGCGATTAAACAGATGCTCTTCCAGCCACTGGAAAACACAAGTGTGTGGGAAAAAGTTTGTTAGACAAGGCTTATTTGTTTTTTCATAAAGTTTCTAGGTGGACAGAGCAAAAAGACAGGCTGAAACAGAGTCTAGCAAGACACCTCAGGAGATCCTGTGTGCTGTCTCTGTGGAGATGTGGTGAGATGACAGGAAACTCACTCCATCAGTGCTTTTAGTGATTCAGATGGTGATGGGAGAAGTGTGTTCCTCGCTTCTTGAGCAAGTGTGTGCTGAACAGCTTCAGTAAGCCAGAGCTCACTGGGCATGGAGCTCTGAAAAGGGAACAGGAGCCTTATCTGTCCTCAGGAAAGCAGCGAGGCAGGACAATAAGAACAGGCAGGGCTGGGAACCCCGCTGAACCCCAGCAACAGCACAGCCCTGGGAACTCTTGTAACCTGTCCTCGCCTGTACAATCAGCCAGGTGAGTGCCTCTTTCAAGGGCCGTTTGACAGAACAGATAGTTCTGCTACGTAAGGTTAACAGAGGACCAGATCTTTAGGGGCACAGTTACAGTGACAAAGGACAGAGTTAGGATCTTAGTAGGGAGTTATCTTAATTCTGGTCACTGTATTTTAATGAAGATGCTGACAGAGTGAATGAAATTGGTAGCACAAAGGGAAAACTAGAAAGTGAATGCTCAGAAGTAATAAAATGTGAGGGATAGCTGAAAGAGTGAACTGGGTCTATTAGGCCTGTCAGAGGAACTACGGCTTTGGTTTCAAATAGATAAGGTAAGAAACATTTGATTTAGTTTACAGTCTCACAGGAGAGCTGAGGCTCATGGGATGAAGTTCCCAGCAGGATTTCATCCAAATTCTTTCTCTGGACTGGAATCACCTGGGAGATGGTGAGTTCCCCTCCAGGGCTACCTCAGAATCCCTCCACAGACCCCTATAAAAAGGCATGCTTCACTCTTCAAATACAGGTGGTCATGCCATTTCTGAACCTCAGGTTAGAAATTTTGCCTCATGGGACTTAGTACAGCCTACATTAGGTGAGAATTCAATTAGTCATGTCCTCCTGCTAATCAAGGTGACTTGGAAAATATTCTGCATCAATACTGATCCCAAAACTTTCCTGAGGTTCAAAATATCCTGCAAATGAATTCTTTAGCACACTGAGGGGGCAAGCCAGTGCTGAGGGTGGCCATGCAACACCCAGTCTATCCTGGGGACCACGCCCCGACTGGCTTGTCCAGCACTTACCGCCAGGTACTGCGGGGTGAGGCCGCCCAGACCTGTCAGGTTCCCCCAGGTGGCAGTGTTGAGCTGTTGCATCTGCTGGGCGAGCTGCTGTTGAAGGCGCCTTTGCTCTTTGTCCTTCTGAGTGTCAGCGAACTTCACCACGATGGGTGAAGAGCAGCCCTGTGGTCAGACACATCGGAAAGTGAAGAAGGAGTTACAGCCTGGTTGAGTCCTCGCGACACTCAGCATGGGATCTAGCTCTCTTAACCATCTTGGAGCACATGGAATATTCTGGAATGTTTTTAAAGTGATCTGATAGTCCTTTTTCTCGGAATAGTCCCACCAACAGAATATTCCAGATACTGTCATTGCTTTCTTTGGGGATCTGGTGGTCGGTGAAGCCATCTGCTTTGTCGCTCTGACTATGAAACTGCCTTTTCTCCTCTCTTCATGAGTCTTCCTTCAACCTTCCCAGCACTGTCTGAAAGACAAGCAGCCCTAGCACTGTCCCGCACCTAAACTTCAGGCCTCTCCCGTCTGAACTTCATCTGTGTGCGTGCCTGTGCCATGTGTGAGCAGGACACCAAGGGAAGGAGTCCTAATGGGATTGGAAACTCATTAGGGTTTCATTGGTGTATTTTTGTTCCCTCTTTCCAGTATGCAGGCCTGCATTTTGGAACTGTGGGATTCCAAGAGATCCAGCAATGTAACAGAGAAGTGCATTTGTTTTAGGAACCTGGATGAAGGAAGCAGATATTCAGAGAATGTGGGCATTGACCAACAGAAAAGCTTCCATGTTTTCTGAAACTTTCCTTTCTGTGTGGCATCTGTTCAATTGCCAGGGCAGTTGCAAAACGAAAAAAAAAAAAAATCAGAAGTTTGTTGTAGTCAAAGAACTTGAACTTCTGTGGCGGGGTTGTCACCTGGACCCTGGGCCTAACGGATCTCTCTACTCTAACAGCTTCTTCCAGGGCTAGTGTTGAGTGAGAAGTGGCCAGGGGTTAGAAGCTAGGCTGGATTCGTGTGAGAGCATAGAATCATTAGCGAAAATAAGGCCTTACACTGGAAGCATGAAAAGCCCCTTTCAAAAGCACCTTTAAACATTTGCCTCTTGGTAAACCATCAGCAGAAACCTCTCTCCTATCTCCCCACTCACTCCCTCTTAGCCTGTCTTGCCTACACATTTCATCACAATTATAACTGTTAAATTTTGCTGAGGTAAAAAGAAGTAATTCTACCCAAGTGATTAAAATTTTTTTTTATTGAAACTCAGCATGATAATAGAGCTCTCTCCTCTCAGAAATTTTATATTTCTATTTAAATGAGTTTGGCTCATTCTTCCCTTTTCTGGAAAAAAAATGCATTTTTTTCTTATCTCCTGGGTAGTTATAGCCATGAGTTGTGAGGCCAACACATGTGTTATAAGCTAAAAAAAAATAAAAAATAAAAAAATAAGAAAAATGAGGAGACTGCTGCAGTGCTGACCCTCAGCATATGTGTCTTTAGCTCTGGTAGCCAGTCACAATGCTGAATGTTAGAATGCCAGTGAATTGCATGAAAAGAATATCTCCACCATTTTAAAAAGTCTATCATCCACTTTTCTTCATCTGCTCTGTATGTATTTCATCACTTGAAAAAAAATGCAACATTCTGTGACAATGGAAATTTATAGTGCTGTATGGGTAAGGGTGGGTGCTTAAGATTTGCTCCATACCAAATCAGAGCATCTCCTCCTAACAGTACACTTACTATGATTTCTTTGTTCCTTAAAAACCAAGAAGTGATGTCAAAGCAGAATATTGGGCCAATGATGCTAGTTCAAAAATGATGTTTTAAAACATGGATGGGAAAAATAAGAAGGGAAAACATTGGAGAAAATGGGAGAAATGGAATGTACAATGTAAAAATTAGTTATTTGTAAAGAATCTTATCTTAAACTTTAACATCCGTTCATTTGAATGTCTTAGAGAGTACATCTTGGTTAAAGATGTGAGTGAGAGTCCTGAAAAGAATGTAATTAATTAAAAAAAAACCTTGCACGGCTATCATGTGATCGCATAATATATAATTTTCTTTTAGATCTCAATATTTTAGAAACAAACAAGAAGCTTAAGTGTCTGAGGACCCCTTTGCTAAAGCATGGATGTCCTGATTTAAAAACAAGTACACCAAATGTGATTTTTTATAACACCGATTAATAACAAAGAACTAAGGATTTCTTAAGAATAAATATGTCTCATTCTTTCTCTCTAAGCAGATTCTTTTCACTACGAGAGTCTATTATTTTCCTGGTTGGGTTCATCCCTTGTTCTGCTTTATACACTTGATCTTGCCTTCCGTAGCAACACAGAAGAACACGGACACCATGTCATCATTCTCTGTGGCTTTACTGGGGAGAGGGGTGAGTGAAGGAACTAGGTGGCAGTGTTTCTAGTGGAGCTAAAGAATTCAGGTTAAAAAATGATCTAAGCTGAGACTAGTAATTTAGGTAGAATTTAGAAACTTACAGGAAATAAAAATAATTAAGGATGAAACACATATGCGGAAGATAATAAATACAGGTAAAGATTTTTTCCTACTGATGAGTTCATTTTACTCTCCAAACTGAAATGTGGCTGGAAATTGGACTGATCCATATGAGCAGAGCGGCCCCACAGGAGGTGAGGGTGGGGGCCAAAGCCATCACATGCACAATTGCAGCCTTTTGGAGATTCCACTCCTAGATAGTTCAAGTCCTGCTAAGTATCTCCTATCATGGCAGATTTTCACCTGCGCTTGCCTTCAGGTGGGGGTGTGAGTGTCTTAAAAATGCATTGCACTGAAAGGAAAAGACAGTGATTATATAAGATATGTTAAGAATATCAAAGTCAAAATGAAGTTCGAAAAAGACAATAGGCTTTGCAATGCTGATACCAAAACTCAGAAGAGTTACAGTAAACACTGAATGACAACGCCATGCACACTCCTCTCCCCCCTTTCCACCCACCTTTTTGGCTCACTATAAAAAAGTTGCCCACAAAACATGACGCGTAATGATCACTTAGCTCCCAGCATGCTTTGGGAGATGCAGCATTGCAAAAAACAAACAAAACAAACAAACAAAAAGAAAAAAAAAAAAGAAAAAAGTAAAAAAGAAGCCCTCCCCCCCAATGGAGGTTAAAAAAAAAAAAGCTCAATCAAGAAAGAAATGTTTGCACATTAAATAAAATTGAAAATATTTTCTTTTTCAAAAGGTGAAAACGTTACTTCAGATAACACAAGGCCACCTCCAGAAAAGATCACCCATACACAAAGATACAGTGTACATAATACAGCAGAACATGCACTCCCAATGGTTCTATTAGACAATACAGAATAAGTAACAGCATATCACTCTTGGAATGCTTTTGTGCAAAATTCTGAAAGGCCATGACCCAAATCACAGACTAGAAGTACACAGCCATCTATCTACATCTGTGGGCAAACACCCACACCAGCAAATTCATCTTCCCCTAAAGCCACTATCTCTCATTAGGAGATCAAATTTGAGCCTTTATTGTTCTTTGTTGTTCATTTTTTAGTAAGGAGACTAATCAAGGGACTTTCATCCATGAACATTTTCACTGGGTGAACGAAGTGGGAGAAAATAGGAACTTTCTCCAACATTCTTGATGCACAAATACAATTCTGTTTGACTAAAGATAACCCCACTTTAAAAAAAAAAAAAAAGGCACCCTGTGACTGAGCACAGGGTAAGCTGCAATTTGGAGTGGGGGCTGTTTAATCTGTACCACGCTGGGGCTGGGGGTGGACTGGACCCTCTGGGTACACAGCGATGCTTGGCTGCTATTGCATCACGACTTTACATTGCAGGACCCGTGCCGCTGCAATCAAAGGCTCACAAAATAATACAGAGCAAGTGCAAGGTCTTACTAAATGCATTTCGAGTCATTAGGGGAAAAATTCAGAAATAGAAGGAGAGACAGGAGAGAAAAGGGAGAGAGAGGGAGTGGGAGAGGAGGAGGGAGAAGGGGAGGGAGGGGGAGGAAAGAGAGAATGAATATGAACGAATGAAAAAGGAGAGATGGTGAAAGTTGAAATCTGTGATTGTCATGTGAACAATCCATACAGGAGAGAATTGCTTTACCATTCCCCATCATTTGCACAAAGAAAACAAAGAAAGGGCAGATGATACAGTACCTCCATGGTCTGAGACTGATGCATGGCTTTGATTGCATTCTGTGCCATTGCCCTTGTAGAAAATGTGACAAACGCACAGCCTGTGGGAAACAAGGGGACAGGGAGCAGGAAAGACAAAAAACAACAAGACAAAAGGGTTGGACGCTTGTTAAACCAACACAGTCTACGAGAACTGCCACAGGACGACACTGTTCTCAGTAGTACATAAAAATAAACAACTTCTCTCTTTGGTTTTTTCTTATTTTGCTTTTTATTCACAGTGCTGACTTGCTAATCTGACCAAAGCAGAAAGATTTATTTATTTATTCGTTTATTTTTTAAAATGGAGACTAGGGGAAGGAAGTTGAGTGTTTTTGTTGTTTTGTTTTGTTTTGTTTTGTTTGTTTGTTTGTTTTAGCCACAGGGTTTGAAATTAGCAAGATCTAGTTTGCATTTTCCAAAGTAAAAAGTTGCTTTTTTACATTTTCTCCTTGGCTGACTGTCTTTACTTCGGGCATCCATACATTAGAGCTTTATATTTCCAATCTCAGCGTTGGGTTTTAGGCAGCACATAATAAAATTCTCACACCAAGGGCAAATTAGCAAATAAATTCTACGAGCTCAATATGTCAGCATATAAATATATCTACTCTCTTCTGGGTAGTTAAAAATATATATGTTTGTACAAGTATATATCAATGCTATTCAAAGGCAAACAAATGTACCCAAATCCTGCATACACTATTTAATAATGATGATTTATGAACAAAAACAGTGCTATTATTCTGGGAATATTCATAGGGCATATAAAATTTAAAAAGCTGCACTGGGCTTTCTCTTTGCATGACAGCTGCATGACTTTTGAAAGCTGTGACTTTTTGGACCAGATCAGAGATCTGATCTGAAATCCAACATACACAAGACAATGCACATGTCTCTGGATGTCTCTTGTGACACCCACCCTGCTCCCAGGGCTGTCCTGTTCCGGTGCTGTGAGGCCACTGGGCTCCCCGTGCCTGGCCCTGCTCCAGGGGCAGTGTTGCCACCATGCAGGTCACTTCCCCCACTACAGGACTGGCTGCCCTTATCAAGAAGAAAAACACTGCCTTCTGAAATTTACATTTTATTCATCACACACCCTTGGGCTTCTTAGAGAAAAGGACTGTGAAATTAATGCAGATTCAGGCTGATTTTATAATAATACCACAGTGCACTAAAAGCTGAGCTAAAGCAACGCAGGCTTATTTCATTTATGATCTCTAATGATTTTAAAAGTGCATTGATTTTCAGCTTCTTTAGCCTTGCACAGTTTGAACTTAGGTATCAGAGAATAATTTAGTGTTCCACTCAATTTCCTCAAAACATTATTATTATTACTACTTAAAAGATTTCCAAATGAAGCAGATCTAAACACTGAGGGGCTGAAGCCTGTTGTCATCGCAGAGTGAGTTCAGGGAAACGGAATTCTGGCATCAACAATGTGACACCGGGGCCCCTGTGGCCACAAAACAGAATGCTCTACACCCAAATAACCAGCAGTTCGCTTGGCTGGTGTAGATCAAGATATGAAGCATAACATGTATTTTCTGCCTTAGTGCTACATGTGTACCTGGTGAGATTATCAAGTCAATACTGTCTTAGCATTTTTAATCAAACAGTAGTAAGAAAAGCAACGTCTACCCCTGTTCCCCAAAGCACACCAACATCCAGTCATGAAAATAAGTCAATGCATTTTTTTTTCTGCATCATGCTCTAATTTTTAATCTGCAAACACTCTCCGTACGTGGGAGACTCCTTTCACATTCACCTCCCATGTAAGCTGGCCTCACAGGGTATGAAGCCCAGCTTGCTGTGAAGGCTGGGCTGCTCTGTGGTTCCCTGACATTCTGGCAGCGGTGAGGATTACTATTTAAACATGATGCCTGTCCCTATCCTGGATACAGCACTTGTCATCAATAACAGCAACTTAGCAGCCTTCTCTAAGGCATTTAGATGATGCGTGTGATAGTGTCTGAGGCAGATGACAGCATCTCCACCTCTTCCATGCTGGTGCTCAGCTCCAAAATGGGAGCCCCAAATTTATCATCTGTCGCAGAGGAACATCTCTTCAGAAACATTGTGATTGTTACCAACATCATTAACAGAAGATATCACGGTAAGATTTCTCTTTTCCTACTTCTTGAGACTATAATGGAAGCAAAGGCAAATACTCTAATGGAGATATATTTGAAAGCACATGAAGCCTGGACTGACTCTGCTTTTAATAGTCAAGAAGATTGTTTCGTTCACTTCATTTGCTCTTATTATCCAGGAACATGTGCCAAACTGACAGTTTCCAAATGGAGGGCAGGAATGCATAAAAAACATGAAAAATGTCAACAGAAATCAATAAGGCACAGTTTATGCATTTACCACAATTTCATAACAAGCAGAACTTTGTGAGTAACTTAGTGAGAAAGATATAGCAAGTCACAGGTCTCCCAAGGAAAGCATTAGCAATGGAACAATGAAATTCGCTGTCAACCCCACACTGCCCTGTTGTCAATGAAAGCTGCAAGGAAGAGCTCACCTGATGCTTCTAATGATATAATCCTGACCCATCCCTCCCAATGATCTGACAATTCTGATGACTTCGTTAGCCTTTGCAGGCAGCTGGCAGTGGAGCAGAGATGGCGTCTCCTTGGGGGCTCTGTCAAGTTCTGTCCTGTGTGCTGTGTTCACTTACTTAAGAATGGAAATTACTGAGTCATTTATAAAGTGAGAGCGTGTGCTGAAGTTTTTCGCTGAGTCACCCTGTATGAAGTTAAGCAACTTTTGAACTAAACGTTTCTTGGATTGCTAGCTGGTTAGCCTTTGACATTTCTCTAAAACAGGAGGTCATGGTAGGCCTACGGCTAGATTTAAACTTTCTTCTCAACACCTCTGCGGATATTATGGTGGCTTTCCAATTAAGCTTCGAATCTTCAGCTTTACACTAACCCGGTCACACAAACTCTTCCACTCGCAGCTTCTGCTACAAGTCACCAATAAGATGTTCCATTGGGCAGAAACAATAGGTCATAACTGCCCTTTTCTTCTGTTAAAAGCTCTGGTAGTAGAGGAGCTCACTGAGTCTTTACAAGACAAGTATGCTGATGGTAGGGTCAGTCCCTGATGGTTCTAGAATGCTGTATGTGTTTTGTCTACAGTTAACCCTTTGGCTATTCACCACTAATGCAGGAGAAATCAGAGTAGGGGCAAGAGATACAGGTGACCAAATAATGAAGGTACTTGGTTGTTGTTTGGTAAGATATTACTGTCTTAAAGCCTCCAAATACATAATAGCCATATACAAACAAACACATAATCCATCAGTAAACATGGCCAATCTGTAATTTACCTTGCAATTATTTCTAGTCTTCACTTTCAGAATGTCAGAGATTGCTAACAGAAATGAAAGGACTTGAATTTCTCTGATTTTGGTGAGGTTGCCTTCTTGCTGCTAAAACAGATAAATGATTGACTGGGGAAAGGTTTCTCAAAGTAATTTCCTCCTACAGACAGGATCTAAGGAAAGCACGTAGGCCTGTCACAGAGAAGATTTCGGAACACATCTATTACACTTGTCATTTCAATTGAAAGGATATCTTAACTCAGGTGTTCTACCTTTGCTGTTGGCTGCAAGAGAATTTTGAGAACTAGATTAATTCTTGCTCTGAATACCACCACCGAGAAAAAGTACAGGCACGTGTAAAAGCACGTACAATGCCAGGGCCTTCGTAGAGAGCAGTGGCAGCCTCCTACATTTCAGTGGAAGGAGCATAATTTCATATAATTTGTGCAGCAGGAAGGAGATGTCAGCTTATGGAAAACTTGTTGATAAGTTCCCTGATCAGCTCAAGAAAGCTCTAAATGCAGCCAGCTTTCCTCACTATCCTCCCAGCAGCACTGGGATTTATTAAACACAGGCTATCAATGTCATATAAGGATATCGAACTCAACATTCTAATGCACCACCCCCTATGTTGGGTTAGTGAATTTAAAATTGGCCTGAAGATATCATTCATTTACACTACCTGAGGTTAAGTGTAGAACAGAACTTAATAGGTGGCAAAATCCCCAAGAGATTAGACTATTGTATTCAGAACAAGATGACAAAATGCACTTCATAGCTCAGTGGGCATTTGACAAGCGTTTCTATGTATCTGAATGTTAAGGTACTAGGTGGGTGAGACTAGAATGTCCTGGTCAAAACTGAGTCCTTTCTGTGGACATATCATAAAAGTGAAAGCCCTGATTAGCCCTAATACACTGATCAGATAAAACAAAACAAAGTAGGACTTAATGACTGAATCCAGTCTGTACTCAGCCAACATCCCTGAGGATACTGCCAGTTCATTTGTCAAAAGTTTTGGCAGGAGAATGCTGGTACATCATAAACACAGCTGGAATATTCTTAAACAAGCAGAAAGTTACCTTAAATGGCAGTGAAGAGTTGACTACAGTTTATGGAAAAGAAAAATGAAAGAAACTCCTTCATTGTCTCCCAGTTAGAGTCTATTGCCATAGAGTGGAAGACCCAGACTGTGTCAATCCTGGCTGAGGGATTATGGTAAGTGAGAATATGTGCACTTTAGGAAGTGACAGGCTAAAGTAACACTGTCCCCTAAATGCCCTGGCCTAGAACTCTTGGGCCTTGATTTGGAGAGTGAAGAGCTCACTTGATTTTCCATGTGTGGGCTCACATGTTGTCCCATCTACTCTCAACAGACCTCAGTGGAGGTCGCTCTGGTGTTGCAGCAGGGGCTAAAATCATGATGCGCTGGAGAGCACTGCAAACCAGGTTTTCCAAATTAGAAAAGATGGAAAAATGGGGTTTCCCCTGGAGGGGGAAATGCATGTTGGGATGTGGGCTGAGTCTCCAAGGCTGCTGCGGGCTCCTGAGCTGGGCAAGCACAGGAAGTGTCCGAGGGTCAGGGCATTTAGCGGTGGGGGATGGGTTGGGGGGGGGTGTCTGCCCTAGAACCGAGCAGAGCTGCGTGCTGGTCTTCCTGCCAATATGCAGGTCATGATGTTCTTTTTCTGAATGACAATGACTTTACCGCATGCATAGCAGCGCTGGGGAGGTGCAAGTGGGGGGTCCTGAGAGCCCAGGGCTCTGATTCAGGGAGTGGGGGAAGGACTAAGCCAACAGGCCTGGAGAAAGCTCAGCTTCAGTACCTGTCAGAGAGGAAGGCACACTGCTGAAGTGGCAGAGAAGCAACGACCTTAGAAATCTGCACAGGAGCCAACACGAGCCCCTCCTCCGTCTTCACCCCGTAGCAGTGCTGGGCAGAGCAAGGTGGAAAGCGGTCCTCAACACTCCTCTCCCTCATCATCATCAGGTGGCTTGAGTTTTGACCTTCTGATTCACTAGTTTATACCTTGCTTTGGAATTAGAAGGTACTTTCCAGAGTATCAAGCTTTCGATTCATTTGACTTTTATTTATTTTCAGATGGCTGAGCCAGCAACAGGCATTGAGACCAGAAGTGCTGAGCACCCTTTATCTGCAGTGCCACAGATGGGAGACACTTATTAACATTTGGTTGAAAACTACAATTCTTTAATGAAAGCAAAATAGTAGATGCAAGGGAACGGTTCTTTTAACAAATGCACTGATTCTGGAGCAGTCCCCTGTACCCAGGAGTCCCTGGGTCCTGCTAATTGAAAAAACGAACCACTGTCTTTATATTTTAGAACAAATGGTTATAAATGAGTATTTTCCTTTTTTGCCATAGGGAATTCTCATCCATTTGCCAGAAACAACTTTTCCATAAAAAAAAAAAAAAAAAGGGCAGCAGGGGGCAAGGAGTCCTGTCCTACTCGACATGGGGCCAGGCTTTGTGTCAAGTTCTGATGAGCACAAGCCCATAATGTGGTTCAGAAATGGGCCGCTTCAGTGTCCAGGAGCCGGTCAGAGCCAGATGGGGCATCAGATTAGCCAAGTAGTCTGGTGGGTACCGGGTCTGGCTCTTTTCTGTGGGAGTCTGGCTGCTTTAAACCCTCATGTGCAGACAGGAGAAAGGGAGGCTCAAGACCACAGGCCCCGGCGGCTGCCTGTGATGCTCCTCTGCCCCCAAGTGGGTGTGGAAAGTGAGATGAAGAGATGGCCAGCGAGGTCTCTGCCCAGCAGAGGAGGGAGTCACTTACACTTCACAGCCAAAGTCCCTCCTGAACCCCAGAGAGGGTTTGCTTCTACTGAAAACTCATCTCTTCATTGACTGAGATGCCCGATGAGACTAGCAGAGACTCTGGCCCTTTACAGCTGGGGAAACTGAGGGCTAGAGGAGAAGATGAAACGACGATGGTCACATTTCACGTCAGGATACGTTTTGGGAATGGAACTTGGGGTGACTGACCTAAAATCGTTGGAAGTATGGCTGAGTAATTTGGGGGCCTTCTTTCCTACCTCTTTTATGTGCTGTGGTATGTGCTGGCAAATGAAAAAAAAAAAAAAAAACACAACAGCAACACACAAGTGGGGTTGAGAATAACACCAGGAGTGAACAGTGGTTCTAGTTAGTCACCAGGCTGGCAGCAGCAGCAAAGGGACTAAAGACATAGCATCCTGTCTTTCCCTCATGTTGTTCTTCCATTAGCCACACTGTCCCTGCCCATGGTGTTGTCCTTACTGGTTTGCTGCCTAAGTGAACACATGGCCATTCTGACTGCAGCAGAGCATGATGGGCAGGTGTGACTCAGAGCTCTCGTGGTGTGAATGTGCTACGATGGCAGAGGGAACCGGAACACAAGTCCTAGCTTCCTCTGCTAGTTAGGCTGTACAGGAGGCAGAGGTTGTACAGGTCAGCAGCACGATGGTCTATATAGTCAACAGGAGAAATGGTTTGGGGGTAAGCCAGAGCGGAGTCTGAGGCAGCGGCCCTACTGTTTGGTGTTTGGGGAATCACACTCAACATCGTTCATGTCTTGTTCAGCCTTTAGAGAATCACATCTTTTCAGTGAGTGTTAATAGCAACAGTTTCAGAATTGTTAGAGAATGCATAAACTGTGCTTTTCATGCCTCCTCCCCACCCCACTCCCCCCCACCTTTTTTTTTCTTAAACTACCTTCAGAAGAAAATATAGGGATCACAAGCTTGGAGTTGTTCCACCTCCTCCCAGTTTCCCTCTCGACTCCCTCCATTTTGGGGCTCTGGGGGTGGATGTAGGCGGAACTCTTTTGTTCTCTGTGCCTTCAATTCTAGCAGCTGACGTTGTGAAGCGTTATGTCTAAAAGTCAAAAGAACAAATGTTCTTCCTCACGCGGTGTTGAATTTAGGTGAAACTAGTGAGGTGGGAGAAAATTAGTGCCTGGAGACTAAAGGCCCAGCCTCTGCTTTCCCCATGTGGTTTGGGACATCAAGGCTGTGTTGGAGACAGAAACTGGGAAAACGAGCAATGGAAAGCACTTTCTAATCGGCCCTGTGGAAACGGCACCAATCACTACACGGATACAGATAGGATCGACTTCTCTTCATATGGACCAATATGATTTCTTATGAGGACCAAACATTATCTTTTGCCGGTATGCTTCTGCTTTGGCCTCCCTGCATGTGACTCAGAAAAGTGTAGTCAGATAAGATGACACAGTTTGGACCCTTCTGAGCAGTTTAAGGAAGGGGGTGTGTGGCGCTGTCAAAGGGGAGACAAACAAGGACAGGCAACAATCATTGCCGACGGCTTCTGTATAGGTGCGTGCAGAAGTACTTGTTTTCATCAGTGCTCTGAGCCACAGCCTCTGCTTCCATCAGGGTGACAAAGAGGAGCCTACAATCTTGTTCTGGAAGAAGTCATTTCTCTGTCACTTAATGGTCTCCCTGCAATCAGGACTCCTAGAGTTCTGCTCTCTGCAACCAGCCCCAATTTCCCAGGACAGCTACAGCTAACTAAGCCCATCTAAGTCCATCGCTAGAGTGCACAGTGTGGGAACTCGGATGTCTTCTCCTGGCCTGTTTCACTGCCACAAGGCTGTCCCTGTGCGTTTCTCTCAGGCACAGGCGGAAAGCCAGAAGACTAAGATGAAAACAACAAATATTCTCTCATCCTCCCTTACCCCCAACATATCGACTTCAATTTGAGATAGAAAAGGGATGTGTAATGACAGGGCAGCCCATCGGCCGCCCGTCTGACAGTGATAACCTGAGCTAATATGTTGGCACCAGGACCTTCTCGACTTGAGAAATAAAAGGTGATCATTTCAGCTACGGTGAAAAGTTCATGTTGGATAACTTTTATCGTCCAGGACATATTATCAGGTAACCTCTTGCTGTGCGAGCGACTACATCTACCTTGACTGTGACACAGGCTTCCAATTAGCACTTAAGGAAAGAGACTTTATAGACGGCACACTCACCTCGACTCAGCCCGTCGGGTCCCCGGAGGATCCGGCATTCTTCTATCTGGCCAAATGGAGAAAACATCACCCTGATATCGTTCTCATTACATTTCTTCGAAACCATTCCTATGAACAATTTTCTGTCTTCCACAGCTAGGAGATAAAATAATGAATGAGCAAAGGCCATTTCATCTTTTTTCTCGTAATCAATGCTTCATTACTACATCAAACCTGGTCCTAGTCACATAAGACTGAGCCAGGGGGTCTCAAGCTTTCCTCTTTAGACTCTGAGTCTGTCTCCCTTTCCTCCTAGTGAGCCATCTTGCCTCTGCTCTGCTACCCCGACCTTCTGAATATTCCACCTCTTTGTGAGCTTGTTCTTATTAATAAGACATCTTAATAGGAGATGAAGCATTGTTGTTAAGTCCTTTCCCCCTTTTGGAAATGAACGGTAATGTGTTTACTGAAATATTAAAGTGCTATGTAATTGCTAAACACTACCATTGCACAGAGATATTTTTGGATACAGATTTTAATTTGCTCTTTTTTGGGGTGTGTGTGTGTGTGTGCAGATGTTTTTTTAACTTGAGTGACAGGGAAAGAAAAAGGTCAGGAGGGGAAAAACCAGGAACAGATGTAGTGGAATAGTAAACAAAACTTTTAACAAAGCATTCAATGGAAGAAAACAATTTTCCTGCTCATTTCAAAAAGCTTCATTCACTCTCCCCCCACCATCCAGAAAAGAGACAAGAGAGATGATCACTTCTTGGGCTAGCTAGTCAGTGATCTCGTGGCTGCAGCACAGGCTGTGTGCTCTAACCAGGGTACACACCTGGTCTGCAAGTAATGGCCAAGAGAAAGGCAATTCCAGTTATGAGAAAGGGCGCAGTCACTTGAAAATCACATAGGAGAGGCCCCTGCTCAGGTGAAACCAGTAACAAAGAGCAACGAGGAAACAATATTATTCTCCCCACTTGGAGGTAGCAGGATTCATGATGACAAGAGATGGGTTGGGGTGTCAAGACACCAAGATGCACAGCCTATCCTTGGAAATGGATGGGGTAAAGAGAAGAGTCACCAAGTTGACCTGGGAGGTTCTTCGCAAAGCCTGAGCTCAGGAGAACGAGCCCAAACGTAGCTTCCAGGGCTGATTCTATCTGACTTCAGGACAGTGCCTGCAGCCTTTTTTAGGAGAGCGCAGAATATTGTCCTAGAAGCCCAAAGGGAGAAGCTGGCTGATTTCCCACTGTTTCATTTCAATCCATTTTTTAGAATTAAAAAAGGCAATCAGAGTGCCAGCTGTGCCCACACTCAGACGGTCCTGGCTTGGAGCAGGGTGCTGCCAGGCATCACTTGCGTGTGTGTCTTCTTTTCCTACCTGTCTTGTAGTGCTGCCATCAATATCTAAATGGCTTTTATTCTTGTTTCTCATATTTTTTCCCTGGACAGTAAGCGTCTCATTTTCACTTAGCCAACAAAACCATATTCTAGATTTTCCAGGGCCAGCTGCTTCAGGTTCCTAAGTGAAAATCTATGGCTCATGGCCTCCAGGAGCTGAGACAGAAGATCTATTCATGAAGCAGAGATGTGACACAATTATAGTTTACTCTGGAGCTGACCAACAGCATTTTAGGCAGGCAGGAACATTCTGTGATGTCCACGACGGTAGCTAAAGCTACACATAGCTACTCAGTCCTTAAAAAATAGCTAGTGAGGTAGAGTTTTTTTAATGTAATTTAATTAAACTAATTTGCATTTTAAAAGCCACATGTGAATACTATCTGTATCAGTGTACCTCTGAGGGATCAAAATGAGACAGTTAACTGTGCCAACTCCCTGAGTGCCAGCCTGGAATTGAGGGACACCAGAGATGTCCTGCCCAGCTCTAAGAGGGGTACCTGAGTCTGGCAGAGGGAAGGATTTCTTGGGGCCATTTAAGAGGAGGAGATCACCGGCGGCGTCCCAACCCGGTCCAGGGTGCAGCTGCACTAGCAGAGGTGGCAGGTGAGGGCTGCAAGGGAGAGCCATGTCGGGCCCATCCCCAGTGCTGCCCAGAGAGGCGTGTGGCCTGGGCTTAAAAGAGCCATCTGTGCACTTCACAATGGTCATTCATGAAACGAAAGTTTAAACTCTCCTCTTTTTCCTTTTCTCCTTCCTTCATCTCTCTTTAGTAGAGAGAGGGCTGCCAGGCCACAGCTTTGATTACCTGAAGTGCTTGGGTTACAGGATGTTTTCTACCCAAAATCTCTCTCCATACTTGTCATATCTCCAAAGACAACACAAAAACACCTGGGGTCCAAGGAAGACAGGTGGAGACCACAACCCCCAAACACTTGGAAGGTGTGAGTTGGCGCACTGAAGGAGAAAGGCTTAGTGGAAGGTGCGGGACTTAGCGCCGGACTTTGGCAAGCGGGCGGGTCTGGGTAGATGGGTCTTGGGCTGGGGGAGCAATGCACTAAGTGGGGAGCAACCAACAGGAGTTAGGGCCTTCTGTGGGGTGATGAAGGAAGCAGCTGACTTTAGCACAATGTGCACCATTTTCTGCTTCGTCGGGAAGGGGTTCAAGCAAGGAAACAGATGGTGCAAACCATGACCTGTGTCAAGATGCATCTAAGTAGATGTGGGCAACGGTGTCCTTGGCTTTGACTTCTGGGGGAGGCTGCGGAGGAGCTGACATACTTTACGCAGATGGACAATTTTACATTTAGGAAACCCTTCCTTCTCCCATCCACATCAGTGAGCTACCAAGGATCAGTGGGAAAGCGGGTTAAGTCAAGAACAGTGCGGGTGCAACAGGGTCGAAGCTCAGGAAGGGATCGCCGATAATCTGGGGAGGAAGCGCCTGTCCCTTGGGGAGTCTCTATATTTGACACTGCGAAGGGTGACTCTTAACAGTGGACCCTGCTGGGACCTTTCTTGTTAGGGAGGTGAAGGGGCGAGACAGTGCTGGGGCAGAGTGGTGGGGAGGACTTCTGGCTGGTAGTTCTTGTTCCCTTCTTCCCTCTCAGCTTAGACTCCTATCCCAAGGAGACTATGGCCGATGTGCTTATGAGTAAAAACAAAACAAACACACATACAACCCAAGAAAGCAAAAACAACAACAACAAAAAACCCAAAACACCTGCCTTAATTCTAGCATTCTGAACAACCTGGCTTTATTTCTGGTAAGCAAAAGCCAATGATAAGGTCCCTGTCGGCCCTTGGTTCTGCTTGTAAACCTCTAATTGTGGTATTTAGCTAAAATGATTTTCAGGTTTTGAGCGTCAGGATGATGCTGGAGAAAAGTAAACATGGAGCTCTAGTGTAAGCTCACAAATGATTTTTTTCTCCTAAGATGCATGTTAAGAAAACTGAACCACTTATGAAGAAATCCTGACTTCCTAGGCATCATGCAGGGTGAACTCAGATGGGCAGGGAGATGACAGACAATTCGCATTTTTCAGTAACAAGTATTGCCCAAAGGGAAAAAACTGAAACCTAAACCGGCCATTTCTGTCTCTGTCTCTGTCTCTCTATGAGCTTGTGTGTGCTCCTGCACAAGGTAAAGGCCAGTGGATAGTCACCATTTTTTGCAAGCCAAAGTTGCTCTGGTTTTAACAGTTGGGCCTTGTTGGCTTTAACAGCAAAATGGGGCTGACAATCTCCCTCCCCCCAGCTTTCCTCTCCCTTGAGGTTTTCCTGATTTTTCAGGGAAAATGTATTCATAAAATCTACTCCTAGGATTCCTATCCTAGGGTTCTCTAAACACTGTTGTCAGTGTTTTTAATAAATGTAGTTATCTTGAATTCATTAACTTTTTTATCTATTTCTGATGAATTTCCTGGGTGTGGTTTTCCTAAGTAATCATAGGTATTAAGTAGTTACTGATTTGTTCAATCTATAAGAATGCTGATTGCTTTAGTAAACCTTGTATGTGCATAGTATCCTGCTAGATGTTTTAGGGGAAGTTAAAAAAAAGAAAAAAAAAGTGAAAAGATACGGAAACTGTCCTATGGGGGGAATGTCTGTTTTCCTTAAGGATAACAAGCAAATGAGGGAAAATACTTTTAGACAGAAGACTTCTCAGACAGGTGTTCACCACCCATCACAAGGATAGCAGAACTCAAAGGGTTTCCCTGCCAAGGTCCACTTCAAGTTCTCCTTCGGTATACATGAGAAAGGGTTAACATTTTAAGAGTAAGTGGGACTTTTTTTAAGTTTGGGGAATAGAAACTTCATTTTTAAAAAATCCCTAATTGTAAGTCTGTGCTAACACCCTGGTGTACAATCTGTCAAAGTCACACCTGGATCCGGGGCAGCCTGAATTAATTAACAACTTTTCAATGTGTTAGTGCTAACATATGGCATTTAATTACTGCCTCTGAATCCGTGAGTCTCTCCACTTTGAATTTCAAAATTATTTCATCTTCCATTAAATGAGAAAGTAAGTGGATGGAACTCCCTGAGTTCCATCTGGAACTGCGTCCACTGGAGGCTGGCAGGTCTTCGCCCGCCCGACAATATTTAGTTATCTTGACTCTTGCTAGCTTTGAACTTGACGCATGGACACCAGGGGTTTCGGAGGCCTTGAGAAAAGTGACAGAGGCTTAAATGGCATTTCTGGATTCGAGGCCTTAAGGACCCGGACAACTTCTGAGGTCGGAGAGATAAAGCAGCATGGATTTATGCTCTGTCTACAGAGCACAAAACAATCCTCCTCTCAACCCAGAGCATGACATAGACTGAGCACTGGCTACAGCCACGAGACCCACCCACAGACCCGAAGGGAACCGCCACGCTGTTGTCACTCGCTGCGAGACAACTTCAGATCCAGCAAGTGGGCTCAATTTTCAGCCTTGCACAGCTGATGCATTTTCCTGCACCATGGCAGAAGATTACAACGTGGAAAACTGGCCTTTCGATGGTAGAGAGCACACAAGACAGTACCATGGCTGTACCAGTGTATGCTGATTGCTCCAACTCACACCTTGCCAAGTACAAACGCGGAAATTTGGGTATTTATCCAGTGTGTTCTTCCTAAAGACTCTGGCACGTTTTGCTAGTCCTGAGTAAGCTTTTTTTTTTGGGGGGGGGGACCCCCTTGCACAGTAGAAGCGTAAGGGAAGGAGAAAGATGTGCTGAGCTTATATAATTTTACTAGAGGCTGCAGCTTAAATCAGAGAGGGCGAGGCTCCAGGAAGCCTTGGAAATTCTGGAAGTGTGTTCAGAACCAGGGTGGCCCTAAGAGCTGTCTAGCATCTCGAGGCTCACCACAGAGGCTCCCTTTTATCAGGATCTCTAGATGGACAAAAGTATGATTGCTTTTCTGGAAATCTTTTACCCATCACTAATTAATCTGTGATTAGCAGTCCTTTCTTGCTCAGCAAATACAAAGTTTTAGAAATCTGAACATACTGATAATGAAGACAGTAGCTGTCTAACTCTGATGAGTCCTTTGTGCCATCCATAAATGTCAGCAAACTCAATAAAAGTGCAATTAGAGCTCGTTATACTTCTTTCACAACTATAGGAGCTATTTAGAGCATCTGAGCTGAAGAAATCTTTGTGCTCTTTGCGCTTTGGAAACTCTGCTTACCTGTCAAAAAATGCCATGTGAAATCAGAACAGGCCTGTAGCTTCTATTACTCGCTTTCAAAAATCATGCATTTCTCCTGCCTCTTCCATCAGGTCCAAGGAGAACCTTGAAACCTGTTCCTATCTACGTGAGGTGAGCTGCCATTTTAGCCTCTGTAAAGAAGAGCACTTTAAAAGCAGCTTTCAGTCCATTTACACTTTTTGACTTTTTTTAAAAAGTGAAAATTGGAAAGAAAAAGGAAGGTTAACCCACAAAGCAAAAGGAGAACGGGCTCAACAAAAAGGTCTGGGGTCTTCCTTCAGATCTAGCCTTTGGGACTAACAGGTCAAGGCTGAAAGTGGCAGCCTCTGTCGCAAGCATGCACCAGCCAGCAGCTAGCGTGGCACAGAGCATCTCCATGCCAGGCATCACGCCAAGGCCTTTATAGGTATAAACGTCTGTGCTCTGCGAATGGCGTTGTAAGGAAGGCGTTACAAGAAGAGCTCAGACTAGACTATTGCCACCTCTTACAACTGGCCCCACAGAGCGGGGTAAGTTATAGAACCTGCCCAAGGACACAGCAAACACGTGCAAGGTCAGGGGTTAGCCTGGACTCCTCAGAATAGAGTTGAATTGCCACCCCAAATTGCTTCCTGAGGACGGCACTTGGAGGTACTCTCTCCTCTGAGTAAGATGGTGCCCAGTGCTTTGGGGATGTGAAAACGAGGTGTACCTATGGCATCTAGGCCCAAAGATGACATAGCTGCTCATGTCAGGAGTGGATGTGGGACAGAGGGATGCTGAGTCTCCCCGAGAGCTCTCAGCACCTCTCATGGGGACGAGATCCCAAGTCAGGGGTCTCCCTGCACAGGAGAAAATGCAGAAGAAGAAATCCCTTCTTAGCTCTATCACTTCAAATCAGTGCTCTAGTTCATCTTGTTTTTATAACTTTTACCTAAGGCTCAAAATGGAAACAAACCCTTTCCTATAGATTTGGATTCCCTGAGTCTCATCCTGATATTATGGGGCAAAATTATGGGGCCAACAGACAGGGAGCATCTTGTGGTGGCCAAAGAAACAAGGCGACCTTCACAGGCTCTTCTCCCTGGGCTCAGGCCTTGGCATGGGGATGTGGTCGCTGAGTGGGCATGTTCAGCACAGAACACATAAGGCCAGGGAAATGCCAGGTCAGGGTCATAATCAACATTTTAGAGAAGTGATCTATCACTTACAAAGTACTATTACAAACATCTTTATGAATCTAAAAAGAAAAAGAAAAACAAAACAAAACAAAACAAAAAACCAAGCCTAAGTGCAGTAACTACCATTAGCCTGTTGTTAGGACCAAGGATATTGTATTCGGTCTTTGTGACTATTAGACACTGAGGTCAATAGACTGATCATAAGTTTGGTGGGGGTCAGGGACAGTGTCTTCTGGAGACTGCTTTCAAAATCCACCTCTGTGGCCCCAGCCCTGGCCATATGCCTGGCACAAGGTGAGTTATCCACAAACAACCAGAGAATACAGGATGAAGTGACTTGATAAAGGCCCCACAGCAAAAGCAGCCAGATCTTGGACCCCCTGGGAGCGCCACATTTGTGGTAGGGAACTAAGAAGCAGGGGGTTCACTCTCAGAGCAGCATATGGCTGATGACAGGATGGTGGCTGAAGCGTGGACACCTATTCCCGGACAGACAAGTCAGGTCCTGGCGGCACCATATGGACTTAGCATATTCTTAAAACTTTCTAGTCTGTGAAGAAGCTAGAAAATGGGATGCACTACAATTAGCAAAAAAATACCTTGTGGAGAGATTTAGAGCCCAATCATAATTTACATTTGCAGATATGCAGATCTCTAAGTGCGTGGCTTCTGCCCTGATTACTAATTAATGAGGAGCAGACCTGCCTGTGGAAGGAAACAGTGCTGATTATGTCAGTCTAGTGGGACAGGGAAGCGCGAAGGTCTCAGAAGGTAGACGATTCCTTTACCATGCATTTTAGTAAATTCAAAGAACAAAACGGAGACAGCAGGTTTGGATAAATGGAAGCAAAAACTTGAGAGAGAGAAATGTGGCAGCCAACCCTCTTGTGACTAGCAGAGGCAGATCTCCATTATTTCATGGACTTGATCAAATGCATATTTTTGCAGCCAGTGTACATTTAGTTAATCAGCAGGCTGAATTCTGAATGAATTCGGATGCAAATGCATCTGTACAATTTAGAGAAGAGTGCAATGAGACAGTCTCCAAGCCAAAAAAGAACAAATGCAAAGGGAAAGGCAATAGCACTTCCTCTCCATTCATCTTCACTGCAGTTTAAGGTCATTCTCCACCCCCTCCTCATCCCCCACCAGGTATCCCGGGTAGCTCTGTGGGAAGAGATAAATAAGAGCCAAAGGCCATGGGGTCACCACACAGAGCAAGTCCTGAACAGAGAGACAAAGAATACCATATTCCTAACATCTCCACACCACACAGAGATGAGGCAGGAGAGTGAAGTGGCATTTCTCCAAAAATACCAAATGCAGTGGAAGTTTCCAGGAGTTCTCTCTCTGCCCATTCCAGAGAACATGCCACTGGGGTTGGGCCTCCCTCCCCCACATGACCTCTTCATTTAAAGAAACAGACATTCAATGAGACAGTTGATTACCACCTACCATTTGACTTTTCACTATCTGCAGGTTTCATCTGAATGGGATGATGCATCTAAAAATACAAAAGTGAGAAAGTAAAGGCAGATTGAACAGCTGTAAAAACAGTCTCAGAAATTCCATGCTACTAAATTCCAGTCCTGATAATATTATAAGGACACATTCATAATAACAAGATCTCTCCTGGCTTAAATTACATTCAAATGCAACCCTGTGCTTGATCTTTAAGAAAGGGATTCTTTTCAGTAAAAGGCACTGTGATGCAGTATTTAAAAACTTGGGATATGCACTCAGACTTTGAGTTCAAGACCTGGTCAAACCCAGTCTGAGTTCTGTCTCTATCTGTTAGGTCACCCTGGTCTGCCATTCATCAGGCCACAGAATCTTGGGCAAGTGTTTTTAAATTCTTTGGTTTCAGGGTCCTCATCTGTGAAATGGAGGTGACACCTGCAGAGTGGAATTGGGACATTTTTATATGAAGGACACAGAATGAGCTGAAGAAACATCCCCTGTTATTTTGTGTCATTACAAAAGTACATTCAAGTTCTCTGTTTTTCTTCTGGCCTTTCTGTCAGGTGCATGAATGTTTCTTAGGTTTCATAGTTTCAAGTAATTTGAAGTTCCACCAGTTGACTGATATAGGAGCCATTATCTTGTTTGCATTAAACACAAAAGATGGTATAAAAATGCAGAGTCACTGAAACAAATAAAGGAAGGAGAATCGTACCACCCAATTCAGTATGGATACAGGAGAAGAAAGAAGCAGAGATAAAATGGTCTCAAGATTCTGAATTGTGACAAAATTGGGTGCTCTACGTCTCTTTATAAATGCCCATCACACCACTGAGCACGGCCGATGGAATTTACTCCCAGGGCAGAATGCCACCACCGTTTTCAATTAAAATAAATTCCTCAAACTCCTTGCAAAGGTCCTGTTGCTTCATATTTCATCATACCCCAAGGAACACTGAAGCCGCAGGGTGGATGGAATCACTGACTGTGCAAATGCTTTTATTATAATGGGTCTCGATCTCTCTGAACCTCCAATTTCCCCAGTGGACTTCCATCACCTGCAAGCCATAGATCTTGGTTTATCTAATTTAAATGAAAGGGGAATGGTCGTTGGCTCTGGCACCTGAATGATTCTCAGGCAGTCAGGACCATGTGCACCTAGGACCTGCCTGCTCTTCCAGACACAAGAGGAAAGGGAAAGAGGGAGCACAATCAGGCCAAAAGAGGCTAAATAATTCAGAGCTGCTGCTTGATTCTAAAAGGCAAGGAGCTCTTATGCACAGGACATAGGCCTTGAGATGTAGGGTCTACCCATCTCATTCCCCCACTTCATGAATATTTTCAGTTTGGGTAGGCGAATGGAATTCGCCCCCTGCAATGTGAGCAAGGAGTCATGGGAGCCCGGTGGGGGCACGTCCATTGATTGACTTGGCAAGAGAAGTGATGCCTTGGTAGCATTTGAGTCCTAAAGGCCAAGTTGGATTTGTTGGCAGAAGAAGGGGGGATCTACACTGGGAACCACTGGAATATCCCACGCCAGGGTACAGTGATGAGAAAGAGCACAGAAGGGGTGCAAAGGCAGTTGGCATCCGTGTCTTAGGAAATCTTGCATGCAAAGGAATTATGATTTTGTCTGGAAGTCAACAGAGAAGATTTAAACAACAAAGGCAACAGATCAATTTGAATTCTCGAAGTTATACTTGGTTAAAGTATGGAAAAGGGATTGTAGAAGAGAGACACAGGAAGAGGCAGGAGGACAAACATCCACAAAGAGTCTAGCTACTGCAGACATTCATGTGAAATGGACTGTCAAGCCTTCGGAAGCACCTGGCTGGATGTGAGGATGAGACCGAGGGGACAGCTCAGGTCGGAAAAATTAAGTACCCAGTGGGGTTATCACCCAAGCAGGGGAAGGCATGAGAAAACAGCGATGGGGGGTGGGGTGGGGTGAATGTTGAGTGCAGGTCAGGACCATTGCATGTGGCAGGAGTGTGGGCCCAGAGAGAAGTTGCAGACTGAGGCTCAGGCTGTAGCCGCTGCTCTGGGGTGTGTGTGAGGCAGCGGTCAGGGGAGTGGATGCAACTGTCCAGAGAGGTGACACAAAACACAGGGTCAAGACTGAAAAGAAGTAGGACAGAACCAAGGAGAATATCAACAAAGAGGAGCCCAAGGAGGACAGGGCAAAGGCTGTGAGAGAAGCAAGAGCAGGAATCCCTAGTCCCATGAGAACCACACAGTGAGGGTTTCATGGAAAAGACAGCAGTCAGAGCAAGTGCCACTAGGAGCTGTGATGAAAATGCTAATGAATCCTTTTGAGTTTGGCAGAAAACAAATGATTTAGGGAAGTTTTCAAAAGCAGTTTCTGTTAAGTGGGGGCCAGTGCACCAGACTGTAGGGAGCTGGGGAATAATAGGGAAGACAAGAGCGCATGTGATACATGCTGACAACTATTTTAAGAAGTTGGGGGGAAAGATAGGTGGGGGCTGGGAGGTAGAATCTTTCCTTTCTGATAGGAGAGACTTGTACAGGCTAACATGCTGACAAGACACAAATGAGAGTTACAGCTTCAAGAAGCAGGAGAGAGGCAGTGAGTGTGTCTACAGTCCCCAGGGAACACAGGAACGAAGTGAATAGGACTCTTGCCCTCAGGGCACTTTGGGATCTGCCACGGCAGTGATATGCAAACATATAAAGCAGAAAACATAGTGGTCAACGTCAGGGAAAAAAAGCAGAGTGCTGTGAGCATTCAGATCACATATGGAAGGAAATGTGGGTGCTCTAGGACAGCATTATTCCACTCCAAAGCAGTCAAGGTCCTGGGAATCACATAGCCCAAAGTTCTCCATGCATAGGTCTGAAGGGAAGACGCATTAGGGATCCACAGATGGGATGAGAAATCTAAGCTGCCTACACTTATCCCAGGCTGTTATCCCTATGCCATATGTCCAATATGGGACTTGGACATGGGAGCCCACAATGAAGAGCCGTAGGCTCCATCCACTGGACGTGTCTCTTGGTAGTAGAAGGGCCTGCAATATCCCCTCAGGGAAAAGTAATCTTCCCTTGTTCTAAAATCCCAGAATGCTTTACCTAGTAGTTTTATGACTTATACTAAGACTTGACTCTTGGCTTTTTTGTGGTTTTTTTTTTTTTTTCCAGCTACTGAGAGAATTAGTTCAGTTTCTAACCTAAGACTGCCCAGAAGACTCAAGAATGCAATGGCAGTAGGAATAAAGAAGCTTCTGCCACCTCAGACTTCAAGTTTCTTTGGATGTTTTCCAAGGCCCAAGGTGGGGGAGGAAGCAAACTTGGCTGAGATCTGGAATGTGAGACCATGGTGAATTGTAAATGGTGGTCGCCCTACTTCAGGTATCTTCTGAAGACAATTTAGATTAATGTATGTAAAGCACTGTGACCTTCTTGGAGAGAGGTATTCAATCAGGACTGTATTAAGAATGGCTCATTATCATGAGCAGTTCATTTGAGTTACAAATTTCTGATCAGATACAGGATGTAAATGTCAAGGAAGACAAAAAATGGTTTGGAGGAGTCCTTATAAAGTTACTTCCTCAAATCCCATGATTCCATGAGAATTCTCAAGTGGAGTCAGAAAGCTGTTGGGAAGGAGAAGGCATCCTAGTTTAAAGTTTTCAGTTAAAGAAAGAAAGTTAAAGAACCAGGGATTCTTTCTCTGTAAGAGGTACTGGTTCCAAAGACTTGACCCAGTACCATGCTAGAATGACCCAGTCATCCACTCATTTCTGCTGTTACCATAACCTCCTCATGCTGGGACCACAGAGAAAAGGGTGCTATACTGAGGGCCTTCCTCATTCAGAGGTAGCGATGGCCCACCAGCCACTTCCCACATGAAGATGGGCTACACGAACACACACAGCGGAGTAACTTGGAGGAAGGGCCAGCATGGAAAAGGAAGGGTTAGCTGGAGAGGTGTCTCAGGGACCAACCAGTAATGAATGAAGGACTTTTCAGGGAAGAGGACAAAAGTGGAAGGCTCAAAGACAAAACCACTCATGTTACTACTAAAGAATGACAGTGAGACATTCTAACCAATAGGGGAAGGAACAGAAAGTGCTAAAGAAGATCATTCACAACACAAAATACTGAAAGCTCAAGACAAACAGCCAGGGGCGTGCTGGTAGATAGGAATGCCAGTCTACTTTATCCTGGATTAAAACTGGCAGTCAGAGGTGATACCCTAACCACCTACTTCACGAGCTAAAGATAAAGCATAGGGTCTCACAATTGTGGCCTCTCAATACTGCATCAGTTATGACCCCAGAAAGTGGAGTGTGTCCACAGTGAGGGTTGGACAGAGAGGCGTTTTGTGCTGCACCTCGCAGTGGGAGGTCCCACCTGACAGTACCAGACCAAGGGCAGGGCCAGACAGGGGGGCAGTCACTCCCCAGTCTCCTAACATTTCAGTAGTTGTAAGGGAACCTCAGAGTCCAGGTAGGGGGGTGGTGGGGGGGGGGGGCATCTTCCTCCTTGTTTCTACGGCAAATGAGCACATGATTATCTGTAAGTTTTGTGCGGTGTCTCCAAAAAGACAGGTGTTAAAATCGAAGCTCTGTCTCCATAACCACCCTGGACTGCTTGTCTGAAGAAATCGTCAGTGGTCTGTATTGCCATGATCTGTCTAGAAAGCTGAAGGGCCTATGGAGGTCCTGAGCCAAGAGAAATACAAGTAGCAAGTCTCTGACTTGGGCTCAAGTCCGCTGTCCCTGAGGCAAATGCGGTGAGTGGGCAGCCTCCCCGTTGGCAGAGGTCTTGTCCCAGGCAAAAATGCAAGATCAATCATTTTGGAAATAGATCCTGGCTCATGGCAGCCAATCTGATTTCACATATTTCATCAAGTTTATGTTTCTATGAAGACAGCCTTCTAAATCCATTTCCTTGAAGATTTCTTCAACTGCATATGAATTGCTTTTTCACTTTATGGCAGAACAACATTTTGCCTCAAGTCACACATGAAGGTACTGGTTAACTACTTGGTCTCTATTTAGACCTACTTGTTTAACACAT